AAATTCTCTACAACTTTCGCGTCTTCACTTTTTCCCCTAAAAGTGATACTTTTTGACTTATTGACGAAAAACCTATTTTTTGCACCTTTTTTGCACTATAATTTTCGTAGCGTAAACGATACGGGGGTGGGCTTTTTGTACCTTCATTATGACCCAAAAAGACACCCCTCTAGCAACGGGCAAAAATTCCATCTGGAATTATTTCCTTTCTGAAATGGATTTTGACTGGGCTAATATTAATGTTTTGCGATTCTTTACTGATCAATTTGAGTCGTTCATCGTAGGCGATCACATTGTGACATGCCATAATTTAAGATCAAAAATTATTAAACGATTTGCGGTGTTCAGATTAAAAATAGCATATAAGAAATACAAGCCTAAAAAAAGGCATTATGACAGTAAAACTATGGCAATGCACAGTGTAAAAAAATAATCTTTTATTACTCCTGTTTCTCTATTATCTATCTCCTGTCATTATATTAATTATATATTTTATATTTCATTAATTTGCAATAAATTTATTTCATTTATTCTATTGTGTATACATCCGAAATAAACATATATATATATATATGAATTCATACATTAATACCTTTCAAATTTGCCGCGCTTTGCTATCCCCTCCACTTTTAGACCACTAATGGACGCTTAATTTTCAGGTGGCTAGACTCTTATTAGAGGGCCTCTAGATTAAACTAAACCGGAAGGTCCTCTATCATTTTGCAATTTTCGCAATTGTTATATTAATGAGCAAGAAGAACATTCTGCCAATATTTTTTGTATATTCGGCAGCAGTAGGCCGGCCGGACGCGCTTATTCGGCTATCTTTAAACGTTAATATCTCGTTAACTATTGCGCAACCTACAAAATGGTATAAAATTTTTCGATTTAATTCGGTCCGTTCTACCTGCTCGTGATGGATTAGCCGATAATTTTCAAACACCCTGTATACACTACCGGTCAAAAGTATTTTACCACCCCTACAATATCGCAAATTTGGGCATTAATAAAATAAGTTATACATGTTATATTGTTATGAATTGGTGGTTTATTCATCGTAATAAAGTAAATGAATTGCACAATCGTGAAAAATAGAACGAAAACCATTGATAAAGGTTATATTTTTGACTCATCGAAATATCCGCCTTTTGCCTTGTGAACAGCTTCACACACTTTCGGCATTCTTGCTATGAGTTTATTTAAAGTTGTTGGTGCAATTTCACTCCAACATGTCTGCAGACACTCCCAAAGCTAGTTTAAATTGGTTGGTCTCATTGTCCTGACTTTTCTGTCAAGTTCATCCCACAAAAGCTCGATGGGATTGAAATCGGGCGATTGAACAGGCCATGCCATATTCACCAACTTTCCTTGCTTCTCCTTAGACTCCACGTACCTTATGCATAATGCAGAAGTATGTTTTGGATCGTTATCCTGATGCAAAACGAATCCTCGTCCGATTAATTTCATCCCCGATGGGAGAGCGTGATACTGCAAAATGCGATGGTAACGTTCTTTCGTCAAAGTATCTTTTATGTGAATGAAATCACCAACTTTATCGTTACCAAAACAACCCCATACCATCACGGATCCACCACCGTAGGCGTAATACACTGATTTATGCAACGTTCGCCACGCATTAGACGAACGTACACTCTACTTTTTCCTTCAAAAATTTCAAATTTGGATTCATCCGTAAAAAGCACCTTTGACCATTGCTCAAAAGCCCATTTTGAATATTTGCGAGCCCAACCGAGTCTTTTAATCTTATTTTGCTTTCTCAAAAAAGGTTTTTTAGTTGCTATGCGTCCCATTAGGCCATACTCTCGTAAACGATGTTGCACAGTTTGATGTCGACATTGGAGTATCACGCATTCCATTCAATTCTGCGCGAAGGTCTGGTGCTGTTTTAGTCCTCTCACGTTTACTTGCGACGCAGATAAACTTATCTTCACGTTTTATCGTCACTCGAGGTCTTCCCGACCGTGATCGTGGAGCCCGTTTCCGTTTTTCTCCGCAAAGTGTACAGGACAGTGGGATGTGTTACCGATTTTTTCTGCTATTGCTCGTATCGAGTATCCTTCCTGACGTAATACCACTATCACAGCACGTTCTTGCCATATTTGTAACTATAATACTGTGCACACTAACAGAATTACAGTAGCTTGATATATGGCATGTCTCGAGAACCGTGGCTTACTAACGAATATAAAGCAGTGATGCAGAGCGTCTAAAACAGTCGGTATACTGTTCCTGTTTACATACAAACGCTATGTATAAAAGTGAAAGTCATTAACTCACACTGCGCGACGTGAACAAACAGTGAACAATTTAAATATTTCACGTTTCTGTCATCTGCCTCTATTTAATCACTATTTAAGTGTGATTTTATCATTAAGGAAGTTGTAAGGCAAATGCAATATGTTAAGAACTACTTGAAAAAATTACAGACTATTCTAAATTTCATTTAATAATAATACAAAAAAAATATAAACAATTGATCATCTGGATCAAAAGTTATTTAAATAAGTAGTAATATTTTTTAAATTTGTACTCTAATATAAATA